AAAATCAATTGATAACATCACTGAGATTTATGTAGAAGCTTTCAAAAATAAGCACAAAAGCCTGGAAGCCACGGCAAATAGTGGTTTATGAATACTTCTGCTTTCCAAGAAACAGTGTTGAGCAAGCTAGCGTTATCTAACTTTCAAATTACATTTGCTGACGCTAAGAAATGCGGAGTGGTAGGATGAAAGATTAATTCACTCTGAATGTAAAGTGTGTTTTAGCCTTTAGCACTGTTGATGAGTAATTGACAGATTGCATACAATAATGCATCACAAAACAGACTAATGCAGAGACCCACCTGCAAAATGTGTGATGTTTGATTATTCACTCGAAATTTGCTTTCTTTTCTCTGTTCAAAAAATGGCCCTTTGTGGTTATGACTTCTGCTTGTGGCCACCCACACACAAAAAGGTGGAAGACTGAAATATGTTCAGTATGTCTTTGGTTTGCTTAACTTTCCATGTTGCTCTGAGAGGTACAATAGAATCAGATAGATGCTGCGGCTTGTCCCATCTGGATTTAGCTGAAAAGGGATGAGTTTATGAAAGGGACTTGGTAATTTAACATAGTTCCAGTGAATATTCTTCCTCACATTAGGCTGTAAAATTCATATTTTGTATGTGGATGGTTTTACTGTTTATTAAATTTTTTATCTCGGAATCATATACATAGTTTCCAACTCCCTCCCCCCCATGTTAACTTCACAATGACATTGTCAAATAGGTCAGATTGAGGGGTAGTGAGTGGCTGTCCTATGTTGGGTGGCTTGCTACCCAGGCTGGACTCAGAATTTCCCCTCCAAGCCACAGAGAAATGGGGCTTTAGAGGGATGTGCAGAAGATTGCATGAAGCAAACCCCTTGCCACAAGTGGTTCTGACCAGGCTACAGGTCCCAGTGCAAGGGGCTGGGGCAGAGGTGGCATTGGCCAAGCAGTGTTAGGCACTGCACTGCCTTCATGTGGCCCAGTGACCAGAGAGAAGAGGAGAGGAAACTGGAGGGAGTAGATGGTGCATAAAGTCAGGGCTTGGAGTGACATGAGCCTGTGAACCTAAACAGAGTCTCAAAAGAGTGGCGCCCAGGAAGGACCAGCCACAGACTACAGGGAACTCTTCTCATGCAGGAGGAAAACCTGCCCACCCATCACGGACCAATCACTGTATTGGGCATGGATGGGGACCCCAGACTTTAGGTTTGGAGAAACATCAGTCTGAGACTTGGGAGAAACACCTCCAACAGTATCAGTCACCAGTACAGGAACAGCAGATGGCCCCTGTGGCAGGAATAAGGATGGGCTCAACCAGAGCTAAGTACAGAAAACCAGACTTACCTAAACATATGACACCATAGGCATAGTTACACCCTGGCCTGTACTTAATAAATATATCTATGACTGACACCCACAGATGCCATGAATATGAGGCCTTCCAAGGAGGCTTGGATAGGAGGTCCTGGACATGGTCAACACTGGCTGAAGGCCACCCTCTAAGCTTGGTAGCCTAGTGGAGATCTCCAGGGATCTCTCTTATCTACCTTTGACACAGATATTAACTACTCTACACTGGTTACCAGTTATTTCCTCAGCCTCAATCCGCTGCACCAAGGTATTTCTTACAGCACAATAGCAACAATAGCAAATCTTTTCCCAGCTGCATCATAGTTATTATGCTGGTTTACCAGAGGCATAGCAGAACCAGGGCTCACAGTCTTGAGGCCGGTTTGCTTTCAAGGACTCTTTGGGCACGCATGGCTATGGAGCTACTAATGATGACAATTCACTTTGAAATATGCTATTGCATTGTTATCGTACAGATTGTTTCTGCTGTGGTATACACTTAAGACATTTTCACAGCATTCATGTTTTAAATGGGATCCCTTTCAAGTACTATTGTTGTTGAGTGTCAGTGATGGATGTTAATGCATTTGTATTATATTGTTAAAAAGTTTTACCTTAATGGATTTGTGCCCATCAGATCCCACCAGGTCTGTCCACAAATAAGACAGGTGGTCGCCAGTGCCAAGGGAAACCGGAGGTACACAGAAGTACCTATTTTGAAAAAAAAAAATACATCCCCAAAATGGGACAAAAAGGGTACCTGAAAGGTATATAGGTGTGGTGCCTCCATGTTGCTACAGAGGGTAGAGTGTCCACAGAAGGAATCTCTCTCTCTCTCTCTCTCTCTCTCTCTCTCTCTCTCTCTCTCTTGCTATTCCTGCAATTTCTGGAAATCTTGCAAATCCTCCGCTGTTCAGGCAGACATGCAGATTTCAGTGAACACACAAATGAGGGGACTGGGCTGACCATCTGGCCCTTCCCCAGCTCTCTACTCCACTCTCCTTCAGGCCCTGACCTCTGTATATAGAAAGCATGGTGCAGAAAAGAGTTTCCAGGTGTGCAGAGTTGTATACACAAAGCCCCTTTCATTAATAAGGGATAGGGCATGGTTAGCAAGTGCGAAGAGGGGTTTAAAAAATGATTTAGGTGGGAGAGGGCAGAGTTTAAAGAAAGTACTCTTTAGACTACCATTCCCAGAATCCCCACCCAGCATAGACATAGACCATGCTGGCTGAGGATTAGCAAAACCACCATCCATAAACATGTTTCCAAGTTCTGGATGCACCCTACCTGATTCCAAACATTATCTGTTGATTGAGCAGTTCAGTGGAGATTCACAATAGTGCGACATTTAAAAGAAAAGAAAAGAAAGGGTACTTCTAGATAGAAAAGTTCTGAGTTTCCCCCCTGATTTGCAGCTACAGTTGTAGGGGAGGTCTGTTTAGTCAGTCAAAAGTTTTTCATGGTCCATATGACCTATTCCAAGCAACAGTACCCATATTGGGGGGGGGGGCCATCTTCACACATTGTATTAGCGCTTGGGTGATACAATACATATAATATTTTATCCACAATCCTTGCATCAGAGATGACATTTTAGTTGTTTTCTGGTGCTTGTGACTCAAACTTTAGAGGGGAACTGTCATCCCAGTGTGCTAGTTTAAGACTGAAACCAACAGTGAAGCAACAGAATTGCCTCTAAGTGCATAGGTTTTGTAATTCTCTTGCACATAGGTTTTCCTTTATCACATCAGTTTTCCAATCATTCCAATCCCAATGTTTCCTTTTTTTAACCAGGGTATTGTAACAAAAAGCGGAAGACAGATACACGAGCTACTTTACAGTGTCAGCCCTGCCATTAGACAGAGTGAGGCAAAAGCAGCCTCTTGACCTTTTCTCCTGAGCTTTCTGGCCATTCCTTTTGGCTGAAGGACAGAGCTGTTATGTGCAACATGGCTTGTCCTTCAGCTCCCAAACTAGCCTGTGACCCTCAGGTGCAGTGGAGATCAATATCTGCAGTGCCAGAACATAGTCCATCTGTCCATCCAGTGTTTTTGTATGTGGAATGGAAAGAACACCATTTTATATGTTGTCTGGGGCTGGATCTGGTACTTTTAATTCGTGGTGGGTGGATACTTGATATAGATGCAAACAAAATTTGAAATAATCTGATTACAATGTAATGAAGCCACCCCATGAGGTTTCAAAATTGTATTTACATATATCTTCCATTGGAAAACATGCAGCAGTGAAGAAATATGTTTCCAGTTACCTGTCATCACATGGATGGTAACCGATTTCATTTAAGCATTTTATTTAAGCATGTTGAGCTCAACATTTTTATTGGCAGTAGATGTCAACTAAATCTTTTTCAGCCAAAAAGGGCAAATTTTTTGGTGGGTTATTGTAGATTTGGTGTCTTACTATACAAAGAAATGTGGAAATAAACTAGTAAAGAACACCTTCTATCAAGGTTCCCACTAAGATGGGTGCGGTGTGTGCATGCAGGACTCTGCTTCCTTCCGTTCTCTGAATTCTTGCTTATCCTATTTAAAATTAATGTCTTGCCATTCCACTCTTACATGGCCACCAAACAGATACAGGAATTCTTTAATAGGAAAATGTCTTTTCAAGGTGTTTTTGTCTCCAAAGGCGGAAAAATATATAAGGAGAAGATTGGTGTTATTACTGAGATGGTTATTCTGAGTTCAAATTGCTGACAACTGAGAACCACTTTGGGGTTTCATAGAAAATAAATGACAAATCAATTACAGTGAAAGATCTAAATAAGAACTGAAACTAAGTTCCACTGAACTCAGTGGGACTTTCTTCTACTTATTGTTTAATGGCCAAATCCTGTGTTTAGTGTAATAAATTTCACAAGGTGAGACCCAATGAATCAATAGGGATTTGCTGAGTCAGCTCCTCCATAAGTTCCAGTAATTTAAATAGGTCTATTCTAACTATGCCTTACTTTAGTTTACCAAGTCACAGTTTGAGTAGACCCACTTGAACCAATTGAATGTACAGGGAAGTTGACACACTAAAGCATTGCTTCAACAGACCTGCTCAAGTGTGATTTCCTGACCTAACCAACAGGATTTTGTCCAAAGATTCCTTACATTTATATACCACCTTGCCTCCGGTGAGCTCAAAGTAGTGTACATGGCTGTCTCCCAACCATCTCTGGCCTCATAAAGATCCTGAAAAGTAGGTCAGGTTGATAGAGAGTGATTGGCCCAAAGGACATTCAGTGGGTTTGATGGGTCTATAGGTAGGTGAACCTGGATATCCCAAACCTTATTCCTGCACCAACTGCTACTTGGGGATTTTCCCCACCAAGGACTTGTTTAACTCTCTTACTGAAATTGGAAGGACTTAAACATACTTGAAGGAGTTACATTTTGAACTACAATCTCAGAATGCTGACAGGCAGGCATGGCTGCTGGTAGAGCTCTGCATTTCTGAATAAAGCCTGTAGTTGTGCACTAGAACTGATTACTTGAACGTTTTGTGTACCCAGTAGATTGATCTCTATTGTTATACTGTATGTCATTATATATATATATATAAAAAAAATACCTGTTAGCATGTAGCCAGATAATGCAATGAAATTGACTGAAACTATCCTGTTCTCCCACCCACCCCCCACTTTTTCACAGGCCTTGCAGTGCACTCTGCAGAATGCCCACATGCAGAGAGCTATGGAACCAGGAATCATCTTTAAGGGATTGTTTAAAAAGGTGTGACGTGGGCTCCCCCTTGTGGAAAGCAATTGGAACAGAACTTTCCTCATCTGAAAACTCAAAGCTGAGCCATGGCTGTGGTCAACACACCCCACAGTGACGTCTTTTTGTACTCAGAGTATGAGAGAATGGACCCTGTGATACTCCTTCACTACAATTATACGGGCAAGCTTGAACGAGGAAAAGGGATGGGGTTGACAACCATCGCTCTTCTTATCATCTGTAGTTTCATCATCTTGGAGAATCTGATGGTGCTGATTGCCATCTGGAAGAACCATAAATTTCATAACCGCATGTACTTTTTCATCGGCAACCTTGCCCTCTGTGATCTGCTGGCTGGGATAGTTTACAAAGTAAACATCTTGATGTCAGGAAACAAAACACAGACACTATCTTTCCGGATCTGGTTTGTTCGGGAGGGCAGCATGTTTGTAGCTCTGGGAGCTTCCACATTCAGCTTATTAGCGATTGCTATTGAGAGGCATTTGACAATGATCAAAATGAGACCGTACGATGCCAATAAAAAGTACAGGGTCTTCTTGCTTATTGGAACATGCTGGCTTATCTCAGTTTCTCTGGGAGCTTTACCAATCCTCGGATGGAATTGTATTGGTACTTTAGAAGACTGTTCCACTATTTTGCCCCTCTATTCCAAGTACTATGTAGCCTTTTGCATCATCATCTTCATGGCCATACTAGTGGCCATTGTAATCCTCTATGCCCGCATTTACATCTTGGTGAAGTCTAGCAGCCGTAACGTCACAAATCATAGCAACTCTGAGAGGTCCATGGCGTTGCTAAGGACGGTGGTGATTGTCGTCGGAGTTTTCATTCTATGTTGGTCACCGTTGTTCATTCTGCTGTTGATCGATGTGGCCTGCAGAGTGAAAGAGTGCCCCATATTATACCAGGAAGATGGGTTCATTGCATTGGCAGTCCTCAATTCAGCCATGAACCCCATCATTTACACTCTGGCAAGCAAAGAAATGCGTCGGGCTTTCTTCCGCCTTGTTTGTAGCTGCCTGGTGAAGGCCAACGCCACAATGTCTTTGCCAATTCAGCCCACCCCAGACCAGAGTCGAAGCAAATCCAGCAGCAGCAATGCACAGAAACCAAAGGACGAGCACCCGCAGACTAAAGGTTCATCATGCATGGTGGAAAAAGATGAATCTTCTTTTCAAAATGGAAACTTCTGCAAATGAAGTTAGCTCACCTGAGAGCCAAGGACTCTTTTGTGGCTTTATAAAGCCAAATCAAAATCTTTTTTTTTTTTTGGTGGCATTTCATGCACTTAAAATCACAGGGGGGGGGAACGCTAACTACTTAATCCTGAGTGCCTCTTTTTAGCACAAAACATTTGGGAATGGGGTTAAGTTTCTAAGAGACTGGCTCAGGAAAAGAATTCTTAGATCCTTGCCTGTGTTCTTCCATTATCAGTGTAAAGAAAAATGGCACATTTCAGATCAGGATTTTCACAGTGGAATTGAATGCAAAATATGTTTGCATGCATGAGAAAAAACACAGAAACCATGACTGGTTATTTCATATCAATAAATGAAATCAAATCTGCATCTACAAATAATAAGCAGATTTCCAAAACCCAGAGTGCTAATTGGGTGCCCTCCCATCTTCTTTCTGTTTCCTTAGCCCATCTTCTGCCTCACTTCTTTAACCCACTCCCTCAAATACCCTAGCTCCCTGGTTTATTGATAGACACAACATTAAGGTTCAGCGGGAGGTTTCATTCTGAGGAAGGTTGATCTCTCACTTTGTTCACTATGGGTGCACAGTTTGGCAGTGTTCTATGGTTGACCTCAAGAATTCCAGTAATTCCTAAACATATCCCAGTTGTTCAGGCAATGGTGCTGGGAAATGGGGCAAGATGTTCCTCAAAAGATAGCAGCCAAATGTTAGCCTATTGTGTATGTATGTGTGTGGATTTAAATGACTTGCATGAAATGTTATTGCTCATTGAGCAAGGTGGACACTCAGCTAGACTGGGTATCTTGTGTAGAGCTTGGAAACATTCAGTTGCTGGAATGTAACTCACAGCATTACCCAGCCAGGGCCATTCTGACGGGATCCTGATAGCCAGTGTCGGGGTGGAGTAGGGAGTCCATTTTGATTTGAGCTAAACAGAGATGAGAGAGATTATTTCCACTCTGCATTATTCTTCCCCTTGGGCAGCTCACTGTTGTGTTATGCCAGAAAATAAATGTCTAAGATGAGACATGTTGGTCACCAGGCTATGGTTAAGCCTAGAATGCATCACAGATATTTTACATTGACATGCACAGACAAATAGACATAATGTACTGAGTGGAGAAAAAATGGGATTGAATTGCCTACTTATATTTATTTTTGCATTTCTTTAAATTTGCCAGTCATGTGGCAATTTTTTACACCAGAGAAGAGATATTCGTCTTCCTCTCCCAGGGGATGAAGCACGCATGGCTGTTATAGTTCATGCCATGACAATTGTGGAATCAGCCCAGCTGGGGATTCCCCGTCTCCCTGCACTGCTGACCACTCAGTAGCTGAGTGGGGAGACTTGTCATCCCGCCTCCTTGCTGGATTGATCAGCAACTCAGGGAGGTAGGAAAGCCCCAGCCAGAACTACTTCCATGATTGGTGTAGCGCAAACTACAATGACTGTGCATGCCGCACCTCAAGCGGTAAGTGGATGGCCTGGTTCTGGGGAGGGGGGGTCCAATCAGCCAAGCCACCTGTGGTGGTGGATATTCGTATTTCTCTCCCCCAGTAGACGAATATAAACATCTCATCTCTAGTTTACATCATTTGCCACTATATCCTTGATAATCCGTGTCGAATATAACAAGTACTGTAAGTACACTAGAAATGTTTTAAAAAACAAATGAAGAAAAACTTCATTACAGAAGTATAAAAAGTGAGAGATTAGATCTAATGTGTACCAATTCAGTATTCTGTCCTGCAATTATCAATGCAAATGTTCTTTAAAATTAGAAAAGCATAGCAGTTGTATAATTAGAAACTATTTCTTTTTATTCTGTTTTTTTTAAATGGTCATTTCCCTTGAAATTGTTTTATATTCTTTAATGTAGCTTACTATCTAACTGAAATGAATGACTTGGAATTTCTTGCATATATCATGTATATATATTTTTTTAATTGATGTGTATATTTTGTTTATGGAAGGTTTTTTTTAAAAAAAACATTGAAGAGTCAATCTATGTTATTGGAACTCAAAGAACAGAACAAGGATAACAATCAACTGGAAGTGGCATGGTCTTCCCTAATGTATTTCAAATGAAAAGATTATTTATGCACATGGTAAAGGAGCTTTTCAGATTTACGAAGTACACTCAAATGCAAGCATTCAATGACAACTATTCCTATCTCAAATACAAATTATATAAATTATTGGCAAATATTTTCTACACAATAGCTCGGCATGGCTCTCTCATTCTCTTTCCTCATCGACCACTTCTTAGCCTACAGGGCTTAAGTTGCAACAAAGCAAACAAGGAATCAGGTAATGTTCTTAGGCTAATGGAAGAAATCGGTGTCTGTACTCCAGGAAATAAATGTGAGCACAAACAGAAGGAAAAGCCAGTGTGGTGCAGTGGATAAAGTATTTGACTAGGATTTAGGAGATGTGGGTTCAAATCCCTGCTTAGCCATGGAAATCCATGGTGGGGGTGGCAATGGTAATCCACCTAACATCCCACCTATCTTGAAAACCGTTTGGGGGCCATTGTAAGGCAGAAGCAGCTTGACAGCACATAACACACACTATGGGACATAAAAGTGACCATAGACAGAAGGAAGAAACAAAAATAGATTAGACAATAGTACTTTGTAAATTTGAAAAGCTCCCTTACCATAGCTTTCAGATGGTGTCTGAGCCATCATTATTGGAAATCTATATCCAAGGATAAGTTCCTTAAGCACACTTAAGTGGAAAGAAATTCTCTTCAACTCAATGGGTGTGACATTACACAATGGTGCACTCCAGGTCCCTTCTATGCCACTGATGTTCCTCCAGTTATCTAATGTTGTTCTTCCAGTTATCTAATGTTTGTAGCACAAATTTGTTGATTCACATACTGGTTCGCCTAGTTTTAGACTTGTAAACAGATCAGTATACGACCTTCCTGATCTTCATGCAAATTACATAAGCGTATGTTGAAACTGTGAAAAAAGAATTGAATAGTCTCTACTTTACATGCTGAATGCAAACTGCCTGTTAACTTCTCTCTCCCTTTTTCTTTCTCTAAATATGAGGAGGAACAAATATAATGATAAGGATGCTTAAAATGTATGTATGCATTGAATCGTGTTGAGAGAGAGAGAGATACATATCCCTTGGAACTTGGAAATGTTCCACTGAGTTGTAGTACATTAAATGTGTGATACTGTATGATGTACCCATGAAACATGCTATGTTTCATGGCATGTTTGGGTTTTTCGTTTCTTTTCCTCCAGTGAATAATTGTTTTTGACAGTTTGCTGAGCTAGCAATTTGCTGAGCTCACTCCAGGGACATACTGAACACTGCATTAAAAGATTATAAGTCATACATTCATTATACTAGTCCAAAGGATAGACAGCTCACTCTTACCTAGTTTCTTTGTGAATGGATTAGGAACAAAGTAGAAGGATCTAGAAACACTATCACTTCAGACGTGGGTAAAGAACAACGTTTTCAAATAATTATCTGCATAAATTGTTCCCTGTAGGTCAACAGTTAGTACAACAGGGTAAGGACTGGCGGAAGATTCAGAAACTACTGTCACTTTATCACCTTACTGTTCTTGCTGCAGTTGTTAACTGTTTAATTTCATTCATTCATTCATTCATTCATTCATTCATTCATTCATTCATTCATTCATTCATTCATTCATTCATTCATTCATTCGACTTTTATACGACCCATCTGGCTGCAAGACCACTCTGGGTGGTTTACAATATAATAAAACATAAGAACAAAGCAATAGCACCAACATTTTTTTTAAAAAAATCAGACATAATAGTTATACAAAAATCAAAATCAAGATCAAAATTACAATATATCGTCATAACCAAAACAACAGGAACACAAACATAAATGGAAAAAAAAATTACAGGCACGATTAATTTAACTAAGTTTCAGTCTCACTGTTCTTGGGGCTTACTCCCAAATAAAGGACTCATTATTTGACACCCAGTTTGGTGTAGTGAATAGTGTTATGGACTAGGACTCAGGAGGCCTGGGTTTAAATTCCTGCTCAGCCATGGAAACTCACTTGGATATATAACTGGTACAGCCACCTCTTAAATATGTCATGGACCTTAGAAATCCTATTAGGGTTGCTATAGGTTTGTTCTGACTTGATGGTACATAGGTACTGAGGCACATATCTCTGAAGAAATCCCATTGTGGAATAACATTCCTCATAAACTTTAATCTGATCTTGCTGCTCTACTAAATTATTGGGGAATAGGCCTGTTTGCCTTTTTCTTAAATATATCCTATTATCACTGGCTGCGCAGTGATTTAGGGTTAATCTGGCAATGTGCAAATCTTTAGTAACAGAGATGCCAAAAAGTGATAAAACCTACCTACCATTCCTAGAAAATATTCTTCAGTATTGTGTGCAGATCTCTCTCTCTCTCTCTCTCTCTCGCTCTCTCTCTCTCTCACACACACACACACACAAAAGAAAAACCCACCAAGCTTTGTTTCAGACAGGTAAGGGTGTATGTGTCCAATCATGCCACCTGGGATCTGAACCATACCTATTCACATCTAACCACAATGTCTACAATGACATCCTGGCCATGACTGGTGAGCCGAGCCTTTCAGACAGTGGTGATTATGCCACTTGGGCCGCTGCTGGCTGCACTTAGCCAAGAACAATATCAGCCTGTAGTTCTCCTGAAAACAAATGGCTGGCCTCTGAGGCCAGAAACAGACCTCAGAGACTGCTGAGAGCACATTATGTTGCTGAGAAGTGACTGAGACAGGCAGGCTTTCCAGATCTGCGAGAGAAAAAGACTTCAAAGGAATCCCTTTGCAAACTAATTTGCTTACTCTCAGAGGTGAGAGAAGCTCCAGAAATAGTGACAAATAATTTCTTCCTTCTAATCATGGGCTATCTTTAAAATCTGTTTCTGGCGTCAAAGATCTTTGGGTAAGAGAACAAATGTGAAAATGGGTATACATCAGGCAAACATCTCTGCTCCTGAATTCAAAA